TTTTAATTCCATATAATGCAAAAATAAGACCTGATTTCACATCTTCAAGTGTAAAACCAGAAAAAATGTACCAGCCTGGTATAATATAAAATCTTTATTACAGTTTACCAAATATTGTATTCACTTAATTATTTCACTCCAATCAAGGCAACAAAGCTACTAAGATGCAGGAAGTGAAGTTACTGAATGTGACAGACTATAAATAAAAGAAAAACATTATAGAATATAAAAGAAGATTAATTAAGAAGACTGAAAATAATGATTGACATCGCATTTAAATTTTTGAAGATCAAATTTGGCTGAAAAGCAAGAAGCTGGAAGAGAGTTCCACAAGCGAGAAGTGTGAGAAAAGAGAAACTGTTAGTAATAGATTTATAATTGGTTTATATATAAGAGAAAAGCTTAGCTTCAAACATGAACAATAATATTCATTAGTTGCAAACAATGAAAATATATGACAATTGCTTCACTACATTCAATACATGAAGCTCACAAGATTCTGGATAAAGTTCTTTCAGTTTCAATACTTTTATTGCAATAATATATTTATTTCAGTGAGAAACCAGATAAAATCATACCTAGAATGACTGACTTTCTCTTTACTCCATTGTTGAAGAGTTGTTACTGTAATTGTTTTTTTTTCTATGGTTTACAGTTTAAGAAAACAGTTTTATTACAATATTGTTGTGTCTTAATTGAATGAAAATAAAGAATATTGCTGGGTAGAATACTGTAATAATGATATTAAAATGCATATTTTTTTCATTTCATCATGTCATGTATGGAATTCTCTAGAGGACACAGTTTATAATTCAGGAAGGTCAATATTTATATGCTTCCCTTAGACATGAGCAGCTGCCTCACCTCCAGTCAATGAAATTGCTTTGCTTCATGCTCTGAAATTCATCCAATATATCATGGTGTTCAATATCAGATTTTCCATTCATAAAAAACAAAAATAAATTTTATACATTAATTAAACAAAAATAAATTTTATACATTAATTAAAAATTATTTAGTCATTAATTCCATCTTAGCAACAAACTGGTGATTTCATTCCTAAAGAATTCTTCATTCAAAAAATTGATAAATTTACTGAAGGAATCAAAGTCTCCAAGCATAGAATCTTCAACTCTGGCCTTCTTGACTTCATTATCAAGTAACTGACAAAAGTAGTATGACTCATATGTGGAATTAGTAATACTAAATACTTATAGTAATCAAGTAAAAATTCCAAATTTTCTTTTTCTTTAACCAATGGATTAGCTTTTAATTTTGATTTATTTTGAATATGTATTTGGTTAATATTATTTTTCATAAATATCAATATATTTAAGACATTTTAGACTATAGAGAGCAAAATTTCCAAGTATTTTCAATATTTACACATATCATTAATGACAATTATAATACAAGTTCTAGTAATAATAATAACTAGCAGTAGAGCCTGGCGTTGTCCGGGGATATAACAGTAAGAGATAGATCAAGTATCCACCATCATAAAGACTGAAAAATAAAATTGACAAAGATTATTGTTTAAGGTTGACAGACACGCATGTCTTAATTAGTTTTTTTTTTTTTTTTTTACGAATTGGTCAAACCCAAACTCAAACAAAAACATTGTTTTCAATCGTTATGAGTCTCTACCGATTGAATAGAATTTTAGTATAAACAATTATCTTGTATTTGGAATTTTTAAAGCATTCTGAATTGTTTTGTTGAAATCGGTTGAAAAATGTAGGTAGCCTTTCTGTAATCTTTTAGTTTTACAATTTATGATTTTTACTTATTGAATACAGTAAAAAAAATTGCATATTTTGCTTGTGGTGATTCATAATTAGAATTCTGATTTGAATATATTTTCCACTCATTGTTTCTAATACAAAAAATATTAACTTTATTTGGGTTTATTAATTATGATCTAACAAATCTTATTCATTTAGTAGCCTTTCTGTAATAATAATCTTTTACAATTTATAATTTTTACTTATTGAATACAAGTAAAAAAATTGGACCCCATGTGTATTTAAAGTAGTTTCCCATTCCGGTTATTATTTTTAGTTAGCACTTGTGTATGTTTAGATTTCATTATCTTTCCCTAAAGATAAAGAATTTATCCGATGTTTGTATTCGTACAATCAGTATAGATCGTTAGATTATTGTTTAAGGTTGACGGACACGCATGTCTTAATTAGTTTTTTTTTTTACTTTTTACGAATTGGTCAAACCCAAACTCAAACAAAAACATTGTTTTTAATCGTTATGAGTCTCCCGATTGAATTTTATTATAAATAATTGTCTTGTAAATGGAATTTTTAAAGCATTCTGAATGTTAAAAATAAAGAAAAAAGTGTGCAAGAGAATAAGAAACACTACCTGTCAAAAAAAAAAAAAAAAAAGTGAAGTTTTGTTTTATCGGCTGAAAAATATAGGAAATCCGCTCCCATATTTAAAGGAACCCACACACACAAACAACCCGATGTGAGTTGTCCCCCTTCCATTTTCACGATGTCTCTTAATCGTGTTTTCAAATTGATTTTGTGCAAAAACAATTATATTTTTCCCATTTTTTGGCACTGTTAGAACCACCACAAGGTAATTTTATGTAGTCCTGTGAAGTTTCATTCTGTTTTCCGCGGTGATGCTTTCAGACATTTGAGTAGCTGGCAGTAACTTCTGGCCGGGTGCGATAAGGCCCACTTCCTAGAGGTTTGATCATGATCAATTCAAAAAAATATGTCTTTAATTTGGCTGGAAAATGAACTCTTCTGCCTGATTTTGTTCGTACAACTGGTGTGGTTGTTTCATCTTCCATTGTTGTTGGTAAGTTTGGGTTGGTAGAAGTTTCCTCTAACCAAGCTGGTTTAAGTCGGTCAATGGAGACTGTATCTTTGTCTTTGCTGTACATGATCGTGACAAATTTCTCGGAACGCTTCAGAACTTTCAATGAGGCCGTTTGCACAAGGGTGGTAAGCAGTCGTTTTAATGTGCCTTATGCCCAAAAGTTGAGAGAATTCTTGGAAAAGCGAGGACTGAAATTGTGGTCCCCAATCTGTAGTGAGAACTTGGGGTATGCCAAAGTTCGTAATCCAGTTGGTGGGGATGGCTTTAGAAACTGTGATAGCGGAAATGTCCTTAATCGGCACAGCGACTGGCCATCTCGAGAAATGGTCTATGACTGTTAGAAGATATTGGTACCCCTGGCACATTGGTAGAGGTCCAATGAGGTCAACGTGGATGTGACTGAAACATGCGTCGAGTGTGGCGAATGTTCCAACTGGTGATTTTGTGTGCCTCTGAATTTTGCATTTTTGACATTGTATGCAGGTTGAGACCCAATTCCTGATGTCTGAATTCATATTGGGCCAAACGAATCGATCAGTTGCTCGCTTGCTCAGATGGGCTAGATTGTGGAGATGGAGAAATACTTTTTTCTTAGAGATGGAGGAATGTACGGTCTCGAAGTATCAAACACGGTATCGCAGAAAAGAATTTTATCGCTGAATGGACACGGGAATTCCTGCAGTTTCAAGGAAGTCTCCTTGATGATGTCAGATATTGTCATATCGTCATTTTGTTTGTCGGTTATCAGCTCCTGGCTCAAGATAACATTATCCAGGATAGTGACGACTGTTCTGGACAACGTGTCTGCGATGATGTTGTTCTTTCCTTTGATGTGTCTGATGTCTGTAGTAAACTGTGAGATGTAGTCGAGGTGACATGTTTCATGGGATGTGTACTTGTCTGAACTGACATTCATTGTGTTGGTCAGCAGTTTGTAATCTGTGAAGATTGTGAAATGTCTGCCCTCTAGATGTCGGAAATAATGGATGGACAGGTAGATAGCCAGGAGTTCTTGTGAGAAGGTGCTGTATTTTCTCTGGGCTGGCGAAAGCTTGACAAAAAAGAATGTGATAGGTTCACATTGTGAACTGAATTCCTGCTCAACCACTGTGCCCACGCCTGTGTCCGACGCGTCGGTTGTCAGGGACAGTCGCATTTTCGGATCGTCGTTAATATGCGAAAGCTTAGTGAAATTGGCTAATGCAGCCTTCGCCGTATGAAATGCGTGCAGAGCATCTCCACTCCAACGTGATGTCCTTATTCCTTCTCTGCAGCAGGTTCGTCAGTGGCTGGAGAATAGTATCACAATTCGGGATGAATTGATGATAGAAATTGATCATACTGAGGAAACATCGCAATTGTTTGATGGACGTTGGTGTAGGAAAATCACGCATCGAGCTGATCTTGTCTGGCAGAGGTGCTATGCTGTTAGCGTCAGTGTGGTGCCCGAGAAAATCGACATTGGGCACCCTGAAAACGCACTTGTTCAACTTCAGACCGTAGTGTAAGAGTCACTGGAAGTCTTCTTGCAGGAGTTGCCTGTGTGAGTCGGTGTCTTTACTGGCCACCAAGATGTCGTCGATGTAAGCGTATACGTGCGGTAGTCCACGCAGGACTTCATCTATGAGCCGTTGGAAGGTCTGGGCAGCATTACGTAGACCAAATGACATTTTTAGAAATTCATATAGGCCAAACGGTGTTGTGACTGCCATCTTAGGGATGTCTTCCGCAGCGATGAGGATCTGATCGTATGCCTTTTCAGGTCGATTTTTGAAAAGATGGGAGCACTCTCCAGTCCGGATGCAAAATCGTGGATATGAGGGACAGGGTATTGGTCTGGTACGGTCGATGCATTTAATTTTCGGTAGTCGATGCATATCCGAAATTCTTTGCCACCAGGTTTAGGCACTAAGTGCAGTGGCGATGTGTAAGGGCTAGCGGAAGGACGAATGATACTGTCACTCAGCATTTTGTCGAATTGTTCCTTGGCGTACGCCAGTTTGTGTGGAGCGAGTCGTCGCAGGTGGGAGTGTGCAGGAGGGCCTATGTGGTGCTGAGTTTGGCGGACACCTGAAACAGTGGCTTGGAGTGGCAATGTTATATCTGTGAACTGTGTCAGGAGATCTAAGTACTCACGACCATGGCATGTTGCGACGCTAATTCCTGTGGAGCTTTGACGTGTAGGCGTACCTAAGACACGGAGATTCGTAGTTGTGTCGGATAGGGTCCTGGGGTTCATATGGACCACCAGTGCGTAATGCGCCAGGAAATCCACACCGTGGTATCTTCACGTTGGCCACGATGAATGTCCAAGTGAAATCACGTCGCATGCCAATGTTCAGAGTGAGGGTCCTTTCTCCGTACGTGTCTATCACGGAACCATTCGCAGCTCGTAGTTTGAACAGGGTGGGCTTAGCGGCATGGTCGTTCTGATAGGGTACCACACTGATGGCCGCACCTGTGTCTACTAGGAATTTCAGTTTGTTCCGGCGACCCCAAACGTAGAACAGACGACATTGCGTGTTGGCACCGGATGAGTTAGTCGTCGCCACTCTCCGGTTTACTAGTTTCCCCGGGCCGATGGGTGTGTACAGGAAGTTCTGCAGTTCCTGGCTCCATCGCCAAATGTGTGATGAAACCAACAAATGCCCTGGTCGCTTCTCCGTTATCGGCTGGGGGTTTGTCTCCATTGTTGTGGAGATGGGGTCGGTTTCCTTGTCCGTGGGCGCAGGGAGATCTGGATTTCTCGAATTTGTCTTTGCAGGTCGGCCAACGCCCATTCTGTCTCGCTTTGCTTGTAGCGTTTGTGCTTTGCATTGTCTGGGGTGGGGTTGGGTGAACTGCGTTAACGCCATGGTCAAACTGCGCAAAAACCAGGTCAGCAGACCCCCCCGCCAGCTCTGCGTTTCGTTGAAACTATGCTTGGATTTATGGTAAGCCGTACATTCACTAGTTATCATGAGAATGAAAGCGGACAAACACTTGCTGCCATGTGAGAGTATAATTTCGCTCTACCGAAAACTCATTTTTATTTATTTATTTATTTTTTAATTTTTTTTTTCCTTACTCGTCAGTCTGTTTGACTATCGTAACACATTTATTTTTGTCCTAATCATTCTAACCTAACTTATAATCCTATTTGTTGGTTTAGTTGGAAATTCCGGTTTGAAAGAAAAATTTAAAAAAATAAAATTGAATGTCTTTGGCTAGAAGCGAAAGTGTCTCGTCAGTATTCTCATGATCTAGTTGGCCGAATTTCTTGCTAGATAAAATGTCTGAACATGGAATTGTTTTTGCTGTTTCTTTCTCCCGTTGTCCTTAATTTTATTGAAAGCAAGTCTCCCAATCCCACTGTTGGTAGGGGAGGAGGATTGGCCGTTGATTCCCCCCCAGCTCTGCGTTTCGTTGAAACTCTATGCTTGGATTTAAGGTAAGCCGTACATTCACTGGTTATCATGAGAATGAAAACGGACAAACACTCGTTGCCACGTATGATGTGGCATTTATGACATATCGACAAAGCCGGATAACCTTACTTTCTTCAATTTCTTTTTTTTAGAATAGGACAATGGGACTTATATTAAGTTAAAACTTAATGTTGTGAAAGGGAAAAATACAAGTGTCAGCCTGGACACTTTGCCAACTACCTCCCCCTCTTATCTTTCTCTTTGTTTTTGTCGTTCTTGTATGTGTTATATGTAATAGGAGTAGGTAGGCTTTCCTACCGCCCGGTCAACACTCCTCCCCCTTCTCTTGGACATGAGTAGAAGCTCACACCTTGTTTCTTGTTTAGAAAGGGGTTCCCGGTACTCTCTCTCTCACACACTCTCTCTCTCTCTGACCTCTGTACTAGTGCAGCTCTGTTTCTTCCGTGGTGTGTGCAGTCTGTGGCATTACCTCTTCATTCTGAGGGTACACGGTTGACAGTTCTCTGGTTGCTGTTTCCGACTGGTAGTTAGGAGCCTTAACTCTTGCGTAGCGTCTTGAGCGGCCACTCTGATCAACAGTTGTATAATACCGGGGTGTTTGTAGTGCCATGGCGCGCATGGAAAGGTGTCCTTGCAGTCACCTCTGGTGGGCAACCCCGAGGCCACATTATGATGCAGGCTGTGCCAACTCCTCTCTGCCCACGTCACGGTCGATAACTGTCTGCTTCTTTTACTTCGGGCCTTCTCATCTTCCATCCATAATTCCACATGATGACTTACAAAGACCGAAAAAGTATTCCTAAACCAGCGCCTCAAAAATCACCTAAAACCCTCAACATTTCGCTACCTTCCTCTCCTCAGAAAAGACTCTCTAACCCACATGCACGGCCTTGGTGTCTATATCAAGGACCATCTCCCTCTGGCCAGAGAGTTGTCTCTCGAATCGCCAGACCAGTCGTACATGTGTCTCTGACTATCTCTTCTCAATGCGGTAAGCTATCTCTTCTTCCTTTACCGCTCTCCATCCTCTCAAGACTGTGGGATACTCGATAGCATTTCTGACAGCATAGACAAGGCTCTCTCCCTCCATCCGTTTGCCCACATATTTGTGTTTGGCGACTTTAACGCTCATCATACCAAGTGGCTTAAGAATGCTACTACTGACCACACAGGCATTCGAACACTTAATTTTTCAGTTTCTCAATCCCTCACGCAGATAGTTAACTTTCCCACTCGTTTTGCCTTCAACCGGGAAGGTAAGTCCTCTCTTCTCGATCTGTGTTTTATCTCCATCCCCGAGTCTTGTAGCGCCACGCAACTCTGCCCTCTTGGTAACTCCGACCATGCTGTAGTATCTGTTAACATCTCCTTCAACTCAACCCCCTGCAAAGAACCTCCTACCACTAGAACTTCGTTCTACTATCAACGAGCTGACTGGGACTCGTTCCGTGATTTCCTCCGCGATGTCCCCTGGGATGTTGTTTTTACGCTCCCCGTCCAAGAATGTGCTTCTGAGGTCTCATCCTGGGTTAAAGCTGGAATCGACGCTTTCATCCCCTCAAGGAAATATAAGGTCAAGTCGCCCCCCCCCTTGGTTCTCCGCTGCTTTCTCAGTCGCCATTGCCCATAGGAACCACTTCTTTCACCTATTTCGTCTCCTTGCCTCTGCCCGTAACGAGTGTAAGCGTGTCCTCAACGAAGTTAAGTCAGTATTTGCTGCTCGGATGAAGGAACGTATTGCATCTCGCAAATTTGGCTCCAAAGATTATTGGCGTCTCTGCAAGAGCGTATTGAACAATAACAAACCCTCTATACCTCCTTTGTTCAACCAGTTCGAAGTCCTGACCTCCTCTGCCGACAAGGCTGAATGCTTTGCTCGGAAATTTTCATTCAACTCAACGCTCGACTCTTCCGGTGTACCCATACCCGACTTCCCTCTTAGAACTGAGGCCCTATTGAGTGGGTTACACATAACCCCGTCTTTGGTATTGGGCATTATCTCCAATTTAGACCCCAACAAGTCTAGTGGTGGGGATGGGATACCAGCCATCGTCTTGAAGAAATGCGCGCCTGAACTGGCGCCCGCCCTCTCTAAACTATATAACTACTGCCTCAAGGAATCTTGTTTTCCTGAAGTCCTCTTCGATTGTTCCTGTCTTCAAGAACTCTGGCGACTCCTCTGACCCTTCTAATTACCGTCCTATCAGTCTCCTACCCCTCTTCGGCAAAGTCTTCGAAGCCCTAATCAATGCCGAAGTGGTTAACCACCTTACATCCCATGATCTGCTCTCAGACAAGCAATATGGCTTCCGCTTTGCCCGTTCTACAGCTGATGTGCTTACGGCCATCACTGAAACTGTCTACCAAGCTCTTCAAAATAACGGGGAAGCTCGTGCGGTGGCCCTAGACATCTCCAAAGCATTTGATAGGGTTTGGCATGCCGGCCTTCTTCGCAAGCTCCAGGGTTATGGTATTACGGGTCGATTGTTTGACCTAATACAATCATTCCTGGTCGTTCTCAACGGATTCTCCTCTAGTTCCTATCTCATGAACACAGGTGTTCCTCAAGGCTCCATCCTGGGTACTACTCTATTCATTATCTTCATAAATGACCTTCCTGACTCCATAGATTCCCAAGTTGGCATCTACGCGGATGACACCACAATTTACTCCTGCCTCAAAAACTAACCTGGCCGTGCGTCTCGAAAAGGACCTCCAATCGGTTGTGAACTGGGGCAGGAATTGGCTGGTCAACTTTAATGCCTCAAAAACAAAACTGCTCTCTATTAATCACCACAGAGATCCTTCCCTGCCCTCCATTAGAATGTCTGACGCTCAACTTCTCGAGAGCACCTCTCTGCGGCTGCTTGGTCTCACGTTGACTGCTGACCTGAGATGGAACAAATACATTGAGTAAATTGCTTCGTCCACTACAAGGAAAGTTGGCTCCCTGTGCCGCGCCAGGAAATTTTTCTCCCCGGAATCGATCCTTCAGATCTACGAATCAACAATTCCACCTTGCATGGAGTATTGCTGCCATATATGGTCTGGAGCCCCTTCTGTTTGCCTCGGGGTTCTTGATAAGATCCAGAGGCGGATATGCAATATAATTGGCCCTGATCTGGCATCTCGTCTACAGTCGCTCTCTCACAGACGTGCCGTCGCCTCTCTCTGTCTTTTTTACAAATACTTTCATGGTAATTGCTCCGAGGAGCTGTATTCGCTGGTTTCCAGACTTCATGAATTCAAGCGCCCTACAAGGCTGGCCTCCCACTCTCACCCTTTCACTGTCAAAACTATTAAATGTAGCCGTCTCTTCTACTCCAATAGGTTCATATCTCGCACCTCTCGCCTGTGGAACTCCCTTCCCTATTCCAGTTTCCCCGAGAGCTATAATCTCCAACTATTCAAATGTAATGTCAATCGACATCTCCAGTTGCCTTGATCTATCCACTATTCTTCTCCTCATCCATTCCTCTATCACTCCTATCTGATCTTGCTCCAAATCTTCTGTAACCCCTTGTGTCCTAGTGGCTTCCTGTCTTGATTGGAGTGAAACACTTAAAAAAAAAAAAATTCTGCCAAATCATCCAGAGGCATGGCTCTCATCATTGGGGCAATAATTTGAGCGACTGATTTGGGCAAACGCTCCAGCCATAAACCTTGACGAACCTTTTTTGACACATTATGCTTTCCCAGCTGATTCCTCATGTACCTGAGAAGCTGGGTTGGTGTCTTATCACATCTGGTGACGTTCCGTAGAATCTCTTGAATCATGTCCTCCTTGGAATGCCCAGTACACTTGAGGATCACTTCCTTTAAGTGATTGTATGGTTCATGTTCACACAAATTGGAGAGGACATCAGAAATTTCATCCATCATATCGGATGTGAGTTTCTGCATTACATTTGTGAATCTGGCTTGCTGTGAAGTGATGTGCAACATGGAAAAGATTGATTCTAACTGCAAGAACCAGTTCTTTGCATTATGGTGGTATGCAGGTAGTGGTATGTTCATGGCTGTCATGTCTGAAGAATCTCTTTTGACCGATTCCATTGTTGCTTAGCTGTCTTACGTCAGGAAGTCACCACTTGTTGCGAGGCCAATAAGGATGTCACCCCTGCAAGCTTTACAAAGAAAGGTGTAAAAAGTTAAGACAATGAGGGACAAAGGTAGAGGTTTAGAAAACAAATGTCAAATTTATTTATTGATCTGGCAAAAGTATTGTACAGGAATTGTTTGGTGTAGTTTCATCGTGAAGTCAGGGAGTGCCAGTCGAAAGATTGTTTTTGGTTCAAGGTGGCAGGTAGATGGAACAGCTGTATTCGAGGTCCAGTCGATCCCCGGATGTTCACCCTTAAAAATACTGCGTTGACATTCTTGAAGAGAGAGGATTGGGGTAGGCAGTGTTGGGGTAGCCTGTTCAT